AGTCGACAGTCTGGCATTTTGAGGGATTCAGCGTTAGGCCATTTATTTTAGACCACTGACTGATGTCCGACAGGAAGCTATTTAATTTGAAGCAGTCTGACTGAGACTTAACGGGAAGCGAAACAGTCAGGTCATCTGCATATTTGACGAAGTTGATTTCGTCTGAGAGAGGTAAGTCATGTAAGAAGAAGGAAAAGAGAAACGGCGAGAGAACAGCACCCTGAGGAACACCAGCTTCAGTAAGCAAAGGAGAGGAAGCTACACCATTATATACCGTGTACTGCATCCTATTGGAGAAGTAAGAGTGCAGCCAGTTGATAGCCCAGGACTCAGTTTGTGTAAGGCTAAGCTTGTTTAACAAAAGGCCTCTAGGTACAGAGTCAAAAGCAGATGTGTAATCAAGGAAAGTACAACGGACATACTTGGCCCCTTTGTCTAAGGAGGATACAATGTTGTGATGAAACACAGCAGCAGCATCCAAAGTACTTCTACCCTGTTTGTAAGCAAACTGCTTTGGATCGTTTGAGAAGCTTAGGGAGGGAATGAGTTTTTGTAAGAGTAATTTCTCCATCAGTTTCAAAAAGGAGAGGTAATGGCAATTGGTCTAAACTTAACACTATCTCCAGAACCAGACTTGGGTACAGGGATGATTTTAATATCTTTCCACAGAGAAGGTACATTATTATTAGAAAAAGAAGTATTGAGAATGCTTGTAAGTGGGTTACTTAAAATATCAGCACATTTCTTTAAAACAATGGCAGGTATACCATCAGGGCCTAGACTCTGGGAAGGTTTAAGAGATTTCAAACATTTAAGAACATCAGAAGTATTGAAACGATGAAAGTCACTGGTCGTGTTATTAGTTAAATTGAAGGCAGAAAGGACATTTGGAGGGCGGATGAAAGATCTATTGAGAGTATTTACATCAATAGAAGAGGCAAAATTATTATGCTTACCACAACCAGTAATTTCTCTAAAAAGCTTCCATATGTTTTCTGAGGTTTTACAAGATAGTATTGTTTGATTATAAATGTTGTTTAGTCTCTTGATTTCAGATTTAATTTGGGTGTTTATCTTCTTAAGACCAGATTTATTCTTTGTCTTGTACAGCTTCTCTTTTTCTCTACGAAGTTTTTTGAGATGAGGGGAAGAAAAACGATCCATTCTTTTGAAAATTATCTGTTTTGGACAGCATATATCAAGACAGAATTTAAGATAGTCAGTCAAATTGGAAATAGTATCATCCAGTTTGTGTTCGTTGAAAAGTTCCCAGTTAGTGTCATTTAGCATACATCTTAGTTTGAGCATATTTTCTTGTGAGTAACACCTTTGCTGTGTTCTCTTGGACAGATTTGAGAAGATATTAAAGTGAGATCTGCTGTATATCTTAGGTAATATCCGAATAATACAATGATCTGAGTTCATGATAGGAGCACGTCGGCGTACTTCATATATTTCCTCATCATTAATGAACACCAGGTCAAGGGTTTTATCAAGTCGAGTAGGGAATTTAACAATATTGGCATGACCTAATGATACGAGGAAAGAACAATCACAGCAGTTAAAATCTCCTGTGACAACTGATAAAGAGTTTTCAAGATGTGTAACGGCGAATTCAGTGAATTCATCAGCAAAATCAGATAGATCAGATGCAGAACAGCCAGGAGTAACATAAATGTTAGAGATGAAGACGTATTTGAATTTGGATAAGTGTTTCGGGCGGCATTTGACCGTTATACAATCAATAAAGTCATTAGAGTAAGAAAAACATACATTATTTGAAGTTGACCATTGAGAATGAATGAAAGTTGCAACACCTCCACCTCTTTTCTTTCTGGAGCATAGTCGATCTTGTCTAAACAATGTAAAACCATTTAGGGAAACCAGATTGTCATCATAGAGTTCATGGAGCCATGTTTCTTGTAATGCAACAATCGCCGTATTGTGATAAGTATCAGATGATAAGAGAGACTGGAGATGCATAATTTTGTTGGGAAGTGAACGGCAGTTTGAAGTGACAATAACAGGAATGGTTGTACGATATAAAGGTGTCTGTTTAAGTGCACGCTGCCAGCCAGCGTGATGTTTTCTCTTAGATTTATTAGATGCATTATTAGTTGCATGAAAGTCATATGGTTTAAAACGTTTAATGAATGAATTACTGTATTTTATGCGATTTGTGATCATATTTTATTAAAATTAGGAATGAAAACATGACTTATTAGATGCAATATGTAGATGCACGAAAAAGGTAGCCCAGATGTCAAACAGGCCGCCGCTAGGACTCATCGTCTAGATGTAAAGGCTCAGACTAAGAACCCATCGTTTCAAACGTGAAATTGTTAGTCACTACAACACACAGGCCACAATAGTCACCATATGTCTTGCAACCGGCATCAGGCAAATCGTTGATTCCACAGCTAGTTACCATTCACCAAAATGATACGAAATTATAGATATGACCGTGTTAAATAAATTATATAACTTTATCTTTGAAATGCCCAGATAGAAACGGTTATTACCTAATTCGGTTTAATTCAACTTTAACTGAATTATGGTTTATCACACAAAAACATAAGCAAACAGATTCAGTCGAATTCTAATTGGTTATTGGAAGTAACCAATGAATGGAATAGTGTCATGTTTTAATAGTATAAATAGTCCAATAAAATATGCTATCAGTGTCAAGCTAGTTGGTGACTATTCAGCATACACTGCGGGTAAGTTCCAGTGGTATGTTTATTTTTATGATTTGCTGTTTAATATGTATTTGACGTTTGAGAACGATTCACATTCTTGTTACCGAAGCACAACATATATATAGATATATGTATGAATGTTGCTGAGATGGTTACTGAACAGTCTTTTCCCAACTAACTCAAGCCTCTTACCAGCACATTCATAAGTTAAAACTAATCAAATCTAATATTGCGCAGAGGAAAACTCGAATTAAGCATACCTTAATTAATCTGAACACGCGCTGCTGATTATAGAAAAGAATAGGTGAAGTCACTTACAAAGTACTCCCTTTACTACCCTAGTATTTAAGTGTTCTGTCTGTTTACTGTGGGATCCTTATTGATCCGCCTGTTTCACAAATTTTTGACATCGTATTAATTACATGATAAGTACTTCAAAATAGTTATTAAGTACTCTTGCTCTAGAAATGTCAACCGAGTGTGTCAACACCGAATATTCTATCTTCCCTCATTTAATAAACTGACTTTGGTGTTCTTTAAACAAATCAATCGCGAAACCTAGATATTGTGTCTGTCCAGTGAAGATACCATCTGTTGATGTTATTTCTCGAAGTTCAGGTTGAGATTGTAAAATTCTCGCATGGATTCGTGGTAGTAATCCAATGGAGTTATTGCATACTTATATTTTGTTAGCAACATTGCGAATCTGTTTCATTGGTTGTTGTCTTTAGACTTTTGTTTAACTTCACAATGAAATATATTATCCCCTCTGCAATAACAGTAAAGTCATGTGTCTCCAGTGTTGTTCATCCATCGTTAGATAATCCATGCAAGCCACTATATACGAGTTCAGTTAGTGAAGGACCGATGGCTTCCATGTGGCTAAGGATGTGGTTATGCGGTCCGCAAGATTTTTGGTTTTGTCTCAAGCTGTTCAACTACACTCTGTCCTAGATTTGATTAATTCTTCACATTGCTCAGTCGACAAGTGGCTGGCAGAGATTCTTTGACTTGGTTAAGGTGCAGTTTGTCGACTGACTGAGTTGTTTTTGAAACTCCTCATCTTAATCTCTATGCCCGAGCATAGTGTGGCGACTGGCCCTTTTCAGGTAGGTAGTTACCTGAGATTTCAGTGGGAACTCGTGACCAGTAGGGTGCAGCTGGTTGGGTGTGAGAACAAATACTCGCCGAAGACATTGGCTAGCGGTTGCGCTATATCGTGAATTGGCAGAAGTTAAAATTCATGAGCCATTGGATCAGGTCCTAGTGACCTAATGGTATACGAGCTTGCCTTGTAACCAGAAGGTCCTGTGTTCGAATCCCAGTGAGTGCATTCTGATGAAGAGTCCCGAACCAGCACGAAACAGGTGTCCAGTACTCCAAGGTTTTCCAATGGCTCTCTAACTGATGTCAGCTCATGATGAAATCCTGTAACCAATAGTTAGGAAGATTTTAGAATTAACTTGAAATTTGAGCATTAAAATTTTCTGATTAGATTTGGCTTTGACATTCTCATATGTTTTAACTGCCTGTTGCTGAAACGATGATGTGTAGATATGTAAAGGAAGTGACATCTTCCAAATGTATTCCCCTGAAAGTGTTTGATATGTTTTGTCTTGATGGCTGATTAGTTGTTTAGTTATCCTTTATTTTTGTTTGGTTAGGTGGTTGTTATCCATTTTGTCCATATTCACTTGATGTACGATGTCCACTAGTTGGTTCATATTGGCAACAATAGCACTAATAGTCCTACCTAACGAGTCACATAATACACTGTGAATTATGTTGTTTTCTCAAAGAGACTGTGGTGAAATTTCTCCTCGTCGAACTGTGTAGAACTGGCTAGCGAATTTCACTTATTCCACAGTCAAATCGATCAGCATCTCACAAGTAATCCACACACTTGTTTACAAAGTGCACCCTAGTCTGAAACATTCCCAGTCAGTTTGATTCATGAATCCGTTTTTTGCATGGATTAATCATTGTAAGGTCACTTGCGTTTCCGGGACATTGATCGAGTTCAAACCTAAATGGAAATGTTTTTAGGTCTCACGATGAAATAGAGCAAATGTCGTGAGTTGGAGATGGTGTGCGTTGAAGAATACGCCAGGTATTAGTGGAGATGTGAGATAATCGTTATTAATAATACTATGCTGAGAATGGCTGCAGCAAATAGGACAAAGCGGAGGTATGCTGTTGAACCAGTATATTCCACTTGCAACATGAAGGAACAGATCATTCATTTCAAAATACATCAAAATTAAATGTCATCATTTTCTTATTTTCCTATACATTTTTCAGTAAAATGGTGTACCAGAGGACAAAATTCAACCTCATCATACTCGTCAGTCTGTGCATATTCGGTATTATGAAAATTGAATCAGTTGATCATGTGCTTCCGATGACAGTTGATGATTCAGGTAACTCGAATTTATTCTACATATGTAAATAAGTGAATCAAAAATTATTGTATCCGAACTCCACTTTTGAGCAAATCCTTTCTTGGAAGTGACTATACTTCGCACTTATGACTGACTGACTGACAGAACTGACCTACCGCTAGATGAAGTTACCTGGAATTCTCCTTACAGTTTCTGACCACTGTGAGAACATATATTTACCATTGATGATATTGGATAGCGGGTGTGTTATATATTGCGAACGAGCATAGGTTAGAATTTATAGGTCACTGGACTCTGTCCAAGTGCATGAACAGCCAGTGAGATCATCTCGTCAACTGAACGTTTCTCGATTCATTCCTAGCAGTGCAATGTGTGCAGCCTGCTGAAGAGCCTGAAACTACGACCAAGGGACAGTCCTGTAATTCTCCTTATTCAACGGTCCTCCAAGTAATAGCACTTCACGATTCTGATATGTATCCATATAATATGTGTGTTTTGTTTGACAGTCTGTTCTTGGTGATATGTATCCATATAATATGTGTGTTTGTTTGACAGTCTGATATATTTTGCTATGTATATATGGATCGATATTCCTTTATAATTAGCCAATCATGGTAAGACTGACTATTGATTTGTTCATTTTGAATATTCGGTCACACACTTTTGTTCACACACTTGTTCGGACATTCATATGTTGCTCTCACACTCTTCTGTGACATTTGGATTCTCCTTGTGCTTGGAAAATAGAAGTATCATCGTAAACCTATTGGTCTTCCGATTTCCGTCTTTCTTGCGTCAAGACTATTAAATTCTCGACCAGTACATAACAGATTCATACAAGGTTATCTGACAATGTGAGAATGTTTCTTCTTATAAGTTGAGTTGGTTTTCCCGGCCAACAGCTGTCTGATAATTCCGCGTGCCATGTGATCCACCATGGGAAGCTTAGTGAAGCTTGCCTTTGAAGTGAAGACAGCAGCAAGGCGAGACAACCTGCTTGCTTTCACCGGTGATATTACTCATTGTTGTGGACTGGATAATGAGAGATGCAGGAGTGTTTTGTGTGATAAGATGGAAATAAGCTGGACAAAAATGAACAGTCTGCAATTAGAGAGGGATTGTTTATGCTTAGTGTAACACAAACTCCAAGGCATACAGGCGAAAACCAAAAGGCCGGCAAGGTCACCGGGCAGAGAATACATGAACTATAGTGAGGAGAAAGAGGAGGAAGATAATAGACATAAGCAGTAGACTATCGACAACAAGAATCATCGATAAATAGGTCACTTCATTCACTTATTTGGCTGCGCAGCGTCCTTTCAACTCCATCAGATGCCATGGCGCCTCATCATTGCTTCGCTGGTCATTTTTATGTTTTGTATCTTCCGCAGTATATAGTTGAAGTTGTGATATATCACACATTGTTATTTCAGACTTAATGGACAGACCAGCTGACTTAGTATCAAACTACCATCCACCAACTTTGTTTAGTTTAAGTGTGTGTTAGGCACATTGGCCAACGATTCAGCTCATAGTCTCTCGTATGATGTGAAAACAATCAGAGTCGGTCACTCTATAAACTCCGAATATTTCTTTATTTCAACTTCAAAATGTTCCTTATTAATATGAAGGCGAATCCACTGCAATGCTGCGAATTCTTCGAAAACGTCGTCTGCTGTAGACGGAGCAGGATAAAATAAAACCTTTCTATTTCGTCAGTAACTTGTCGACCAGGGTAGTGGAGACATATAGTTGGGAATACTCACCATAGGGATATTAAAGGTAGAATAACACAAAGCTCAGTGGAGGGGATTTAATCCTGTCGAATTCAGAAAGCACATTAGTATATGTAAATATACTTTTCCTTCAATTCAATACTTTTCCTTTGATAATGAAATACTTCAATTCACAAAAGTTAGTTTGTGGGGACTTGGGTTGCCTCAAGAGGCACCGGAGACTGACACGATTTTGGAGCACCACTGAAAGCTATGCGTCACTAATGCGCAGCTGCATCGTTAGTCTAGTTTGAGACTTATTGGGAGTACGTACCCTTCAAAGCGGTTTGAAATCAGCACCTTCAGGTGACAAGGCAAGCTAGGTCATAAACCATTCAGCCACTGCCGTCCGACTTAACAAACTAAGAATAGTAGCTTTCTTCCACCTAGGTTCGAATTCATTTGCGTGCGCGCTACTCACCAGATGCAAACTACGATGAGACAGCAGGCTGTTCAGCTCTCCTTGTTGATTTCCAATGCTTCTCAAACTCACGTATATCCTTGATGAAACCTGATACTTTTATTTACGCAAGAAAGAAATAATAAATAAAAATTAAGTGGATATATCATTTAGTCTTATTGTAGGTCGGTGTGGATGACTGTTACAAGGATAAATGTACCTCAGTTGAAATGTCTGAAAATATGAAACACGTATCGTGGGTGGAACTGGAATTTTTACGACTTCTAAAGTCACTTAGGCAGTCAGGTGTTGGGATTCACTGATTTGATTATCCTCACGCTTGATGAGTAGAGGACTACAGTTGCAAATTTCTTTCCAACGTTCTATTGAGAAAGCATAGAGATAGGTGTTCGTCAGATTCAGCATGAGACCAGATTCTCACTGATGATTTTCTTCAGTAGTTACGCGATCTGTTGTGAAATGAAAGGACTGAGAATCTATGGTACTCTAAGTGTTGTCTCGATGCCGCGAGACACAACGAGACCGCTTCGCTACTGAAATGTCTTAATTTACTTCACACTGGTATATTTCTGTAGTAGTCCCCTTCTGTATTCAACATAACTTCCTACTATTTAACTTTTTCTCGGAACTGTAAACCATAAGATAACAATGACGCTTTCCAGTGGCACTACTTATTCAATTTGCATGATGCTTAAATATTCATGGGGTATTCATGCATTAACAGACTTTAGCTGACATAAAATGGATGGCAATTAAGCGTGGAAACAAATTCTGTATTAGTTCCAGATATGAATTATTGACTTACAAATTATCATTGCTGATGTCTTCCGAGTGAATTTCAGAGCTCCAATTTTCATGAGATAATCATTATTATTTCACTTCAATAATAATGAAGTTAGTCTATCTGTAAGGATTTCAAATCTTTTTCTCAAAACATCCAATAATTTTTTGTTTTTGCTTCCAGGTGTAGGAACTGTTAATTTCTTCGGTCTCAACTTTACTTTGAGGGAAAACTTGACACTTACATATCAAGGTTACCAATGTACATGGACAGTTGACTTGTCACATCCAAATCAAAATGAGCTAACAGATAAACGAGGAAGTCGTAAAGGGGATTTGTGAGTCTTCTTTCACAAGTGATTAATTTGTGTTCTGAAGCTATATAATGAAAATTACACTTAAATTATTTGATAATGATAGCATAAATATCCTCATCTTATTCCCAAGTATACTATGTACATTTTCAAAAAGAGCCTTCTCTTCCTTAGAAAAACGGAGGACTATTTGTGTCTCTATTGCTTTGTGCGTACATTATGTAATAAACGGTTTTGTAGTTATCGTGACAAAATTTTGTACATTAGGCGATTATTATTATTAATATAATATCCTTTCGTTCCTAGAGGAACATACGGCTGCAGCTGCGCACCTCCATCGCCTTCGGTTTTCTGGCAACATTTTCACCCCGCTCCAAGTCTGCCCACATGCTTTCATCTTCTCCTCACATGATCTCCTCCAAGTCACCCTCACACTGACGACCAACTCGCCGTTTCCCTTTCAGGTTCCACTCGAGTGATGGCCTGTCCAGTGATGTCACTTGATGGATTCCTCAGCGTATGGCCAATCAATCTCCATTTCTTCCTGCCTATTTGTTTCACAATCGGTTCATGGTTGGTTCGCCCCCAAGAGATTCCTGTACCTGATCTTTTCCGGCCATCTGATCTTGAGTATTGAGCAAAGACAACTAGCAATGAAGGTCTGAAGTTTGTTTCAGATGCTGTTTAAGACTCATCAGGTCTCTGATCCGTATAGTAGCACTGACTTCACATTGGAGTTGAAAATCCGGATCTTATTTTTGATGCTGAGTGCTGTTGACCTCCACACAGATTTGAGAGTAATGAAAGCTTGTCTTGCTTTTCCGATTCTGGCTTTGATGTCCTCGTCAGTTCCGCCTGTAGTTGAGACGATGCTTCCCAGGTAGGTGAAGGAGGTTGTTTCTTTCAGGTTCTTCCCATTTATGCTTATTGTTGTCTGTTGTTGTTGCTGTTGATGTTGGCAAGGAATCTTCATCATCTCTGTTTTATCTATGTTCACGTGAAGTCCTATCTTTGATGCTTCTTCTGCCAACTTGTTACTTTTCATTTGCATATCTTCCAGTTTATGGGAAATCAGACATATATCATCGGCGAAATCCAGATCCTCCAAGTCTTTTGTGTCAGTCCATTTTATGCCTGTTCCCTCGTTGGTTGCCGTTGTCTGTCGCATTATCCAATCAATTGCAATCAGGAAGATCATTGGTGATAGTAGACAGCCTTGCCTCACTCCCGTCCTCACTTCGAAGGCTTCCGTAAGTTTCCCGTTGTGGATTACTTGGCATGCAGCATTGTCGTATAACTGTTGGATGAGGTGTATAATTGTCGATGGGACCCCGTAGTAGCGAAGTAGTTTCCAAATGACCTCTCGATCGACGCTGTCGAAGGCCTTTTCAAAGTCGATGAAGTTGAGATAGAGAGGTGACTGCCATTCCAAGCTTTGTTCAATGATGATCCGTAGAGTGGCGATTTGATCAATACATGATTTGTTTCTCCTGAATCCAGCCTGTTCCGGACGAAGTTTTTCATCTAGGGCTTGTTTGATTCTCTCCAGGATGATGCGACTTAGTATCTTGCTTGGAATGGACAGAAGCATAATTCCACGCCAGTTTTTACATTGACTTAAGTCTCCTTTCTTTGGAAGTTTGAATAAGTATCCGTTCTTCCAATCCTCGGGTACTTTGCCCTCTTTCCACACCTTCTCCAGCAGTGGTGTCATCAAGTCCGCTGTTGTCTCTGGGTCTATTTTCAAAGCCTCTGCTGGGATTCCATCTGGTCCCGGTGTTTTCCCAGCTTTAAGCATCTTGATTGCATTCAGGACTTCTGATTTCGTCGGGGGGTCAGTGTTCACTGGTAGTTCTGCTTCCGTTGTTGGTATTGCTGGACGTGTTGTAGGTGGCGGACGATTTAGAAGTCTTTTGAAGTGTTCAACCCAGTGCTTTCTCTGTTCCACCTCTTTGGTGATTGACTTTCCATTGTCGTCCTTTATTGGCTTAATCTGTGTCGAACGTTTGCCCGAAAGGTGCCTAGTTGTTTGGTAGAGTGTGGCGAGGTCTCCTTTGCCTGCAGCTTGTTCTGCTTCGTTTGCCATGGTTTCATAATATTTTCTTTTGTCTTCCCTGGCACTCTTCTTCACTCTTTTGTTCAGTGTATTGTAGCTTGCATTCAGCTCCTGTTTTTGTTGCTCGGCAGTGCACTGGATAATCTTTTGCTTCACTGTCCTTCTCTCTTCTATTAGTTTCCAAGTGTCCGTAGTGAGCCACTGTTTGTCCTGTCTCTTTTTTCTGCCTAGAATTTCTATGCAGGTTTGGCTCCACACCGTTTTCAAGTTGTTCCAGTGCTTTTCAACGCTGACCTTTTCGCTGGTGTTGATTTGTATCTCAGTTTTGTCCTTTATGCTTGCAATGAAGATGTCCTTTGTAGCCTGGTCCTTCAGCTTTTGAGTGTTGAACTTGGCTTGTGGTCTATCTGCAGCTCCTGATTCCCTGAAAGCTTTTAATTTGATTTGGATTGTCCCTTGTACGAGATAGTGGTCTGAGCCAACGTCTGCTTCTCTTCTTGCTTTTGTGTCCAGTAGGCTGCGCCTCCACTTCCTTGAGATTGAGATGAAGTCGATTTGGTTTTTGGTTTGCCCGTCTGGTGACACCCATGTAGCCTTGTGGATATCTTTGTGCTTGTATACACTGCCACCAATCACCAGTTCGTTGAAGGCGCAGAAGTCGGCGAAGAGTTCTCCGTTTTCATTCATTTCTCCTAGAGCTTCTCTACCCATGATGAGTTCCCTTCCTGTATTGTCTGGTCCCAGTTTGGCGTTCATGTCTCCCATTAGTATTTTCATGTCGCCAGCTGGAGTATTGTCCATTGTTGCCTGTAGTTGCCTGTAGAATTCTTCTTTCTTTTCGAGGTCTGCGTTGTTTGTGGGTGCATAACATTGTATGATTGACACTTTCCTTCTTTTGGAGTTGAACCTGGCGGTCATTATCCTGGACGAAATCGCCTCCCATTGTATCAGGGCTTTCGTTGCCGTTGGTGACATCATGATAGCCACGCCCTCGGTGTGCGTGTGGTTATCTTCTGGGTGACCGGAGTAGATCACTGACTCACCCGTTGACAATTTGGTGAGTCCACTCCCATTCCATCTGCTTTCACATATTCCCAGCACTTGTATTCCGTATCTTTTCATCTCGTTGGCGATCTGGGCAGCTTTCCCATTCTCGTACATAGTTCGGACGTTCCATGCCCCCACACGGACTTTTTCTTTTGGCGCAAAGAGGTTCATTGTGCTGAGGTTTCTGTAGCAATTTTGTTTACAGGGTGAGGTTGCTAGCCTCACGCCTGAGAAAGGAATAGTTACATTAAGATAAAATTTAGGGAGAAGCGACCTTGTGGGTTGCTCCTCATAAAATCGGAAAACAAGGGATAAAACAATCAGAACAACAGCAGCAAAAGGAAAAACAATTCACAGCAAAAAAAGCAAAAAGTGACAACAGCGATACAATACAACAACATGCAGTATTGTTCAGCACAGTTAACTAAAATGACACCAGAACCATAGACTCACTGACTTGGGTCAACTTGAACATATAAATCCTACAATATATGCAATTATAGATATGAATTATTGTTAAAAGTCACAAAATGTCAAAAACTTTCCTATAGTTATTAGTAGTCGATGATATTATATCCAGAGTTTATATTAACAATAACAATAACAGCAACAGTCGATTATGATAATAATACCAGCAAGGTCAGTAGTGAAGGCATGGATTACGTTTTGGTTTCATAAATTCATTCGGTTACGCAGAGTTAGTTACCCTTGTCAGAAAACAACATATCTTTCGATATGAGAACACTATTATTCATTGCTAACTAGAACTGGTGTGCCTTGATCTACTATCGTGATTTCTATATTCGTTTAAAGTGATCTTCAATATTCTAACGAGATAATTTCAATTCAGTATGCCGATGACCTGACGACCTCCGTCCCAGTAGCCCTTGCATATGAATAGATGCTTACCTGAGATCAACAAAGTGTCTCACACAAAATTACTTGCATCTAAAGCCATCTCACTGTCATATAATTTGTTCATTTCGGATTCAGATATGAACAGGACTAGGGCACATGGATTGTTTTAATATTGACGGCAGTGTGTAAGAGAGTTTAAACGAGCACCTTCTACATCAGTATCTGTTTCTCTTCGAATCTCTGTTGGTTGTCCTATGTGGATTCTTGAGGAAACATTTCCTTTTACTTATTACGTAAGGCAGTTGAAACATTCCACTGGTCCTACTCAACTTCTTTCATGAGAATTTATTAACTCGTATATTTCACAGATACTTCTTCATTGTGTACTGCATCTACTCTTATTTGGACATCTCGAAATCACACCAAATGATATCACGTAGAAGGTTATAGTCTGTAAGTTGAGTTGTCGGTATACTGAATTTGACTTCGTCAAATGAGATTCAATTCTTGGAAGTAGTCTGCTGAATTTATCTCGACTGGCATTCATGCAGTCTTACTTGAATCACTACAGGGATGAAACTAGCAGAAACTTTGTAAGAAATTATGTTCCTGTGAACAAGGAAATCTAAACTAATCTATAGACAGCACTGGTTTTTTTGTAGAGCGAAATGTTCAAAAATAACTTGTGAAACTTTTAGTCAGTAGATGTATTCCAAAATGCTCTTTAGGTGGCTCCAATATCACGGGATCTCATCCACTTCAAACACACTTAACTCTTCATAGCCTATCAGGTTACCGATGAGCGATAGTCTGGTGTGTGATACCACTCGACGATCACTACCGCGCCTGTCCAGTCCGTCTCCTTTCTGTTGGACAAATTTGTTTGGCGACATATCGTTGTGTCAGACGTAATTATCTCGGTTCAGGATAAGCACTACTAGAATTAATACTTTATCATAAGACGCTTACACAATTGCTTCTAATGCTAGAGGTATTACACGATTATTATACGACCCATTATTGAAGATTGTATTTATCGAAAATGATTCTGATGTGTATTCATGACTTGACTGTCAGATTTCTATTCAGGTTCGTGAAAAAGATATCTTTTCGGTGATTTCATTCTCAAAACCTGTACAATCGCATTTATATAGATTATTTTACATGAATACAATTATTTTTTGTTTAATTTCACATAGTAACGAAGGTGATAATAATTTTCAACTTGATATGATAGTTTGAAGGTACGCATATAGATTACAAGGGGCTTAGAGACAAGATTTCATAGGATTAGGTAATAGTTACAACGTACGTAAAAAAATTAATATTTGATAACTGGAGAAATAATTTTAAAGGCGGATCAAAGGTGATAATTATTTTCGACTTGATATGAATAACTTGACATAATTACTTGATATGAAATAATTGTATCCATGTAAAATAATCTATATAAATGCGATTGTACAGCTTTTGAGAATGAAATCGCCGAAAAAATATCTTTGCTGAACTTCGTGTTCTCTTCCTTCAAATTTCTTTTCCTCCCTGTTTCTCTAGGTGGTGTAAAGATTGGGATTAAAGACAACACGATGAGCCATATGAATAAAGTCGAATGAACACAGGATATGGAGACAGTCAAGTATAGTGTGTGAATGCGTGTGGCAAAATTACGCTCCACACTCATTGTGTAACTGAAAAATGCTTCCACCTGTGCTTATTCAAATATTTTGCTTCGATATCACTAACTCCAATACGCTTCACTTTCTGAATAATCTGTATTCTTCTTCCTTCTTCAGTGGATTAGTTCTTCTCCAATAAATGAATATTCATAAACTCCTTTTGTGTAAATAACAAACGTCAAATGTTCATTTATGATGAAATATTGACTGAATAATTGATTTAACTGTGGATTGTGTCGCTGGTTTCGAGTTGTCTTTTGTCACAAATTGAAACATACTATAAGGAACCGCTGTAGACCTTATCTATCATTCAGTCTGTAGGTTTGAATGCCACTTATATTTCTTAATTTTTTAGAACTCTCGGTTAACTGGTTTCTAAAATTCTTTCTTTGGATAGAAGAACTACTGACGATTGAAAAAAAAATACCCTTGGTGTTGTCATTATCCTGCGTATGTCTAACACGCATTGTGGTGAATATCACTACTATTATCACTATCACTAACCTATTAGTTCTGAGGTTGATTTTTAGAATTCACCTACTTATGAATAATATAAATATTTTGATATCTCACAAAATTCTCACAGAAATCGCTGAGAATGTACACCAACAAATTAGTATGCACTGGAAAAAAGATTAGATAATTTAAAATCAGATAATGGAGAAAAAAGGAGCTGTTTAAATGTGCAAGTAATCGGTCACAAAACTAAGTAGAGTAGCAAGGAAAATCGAAGACAGGAATCAAGGCAGATAAGGGCAGCTTTGGCACATAATATTAGTCCTGATGAATTTGTAAGCAAGTACGTAGGAAACTGTACGATTTGTTTCAATGAATGCAAAATCTAGCATTGATTAGTATGAAAGTGACTAATTTTTGGGGCAATCTTGCACGTTCACAGCATCAAAAACTCGTTCGATTTCTTTGAAGAAATGCAAGAATATAAGGTATCTAACAGCCGCATGATATCTTATGTCAAAGATGCTCTATAAACGAAATTTTCCTACAGTGGAAAAAACAAAAAATGACATCTGTCAATACACAGAAGATATCTCCATGTCGATGGCTGAAATGAGGCGTCTTCTGATGCTTCAAATTCAGTAGTATATTGCATCGACAAACTGATGAATAAGCCACCAAAGAGCCTCTACCCAAAATACAGTTTGATAACTGTTATATGTTGAAACCAGCAACCCATTACAACATATAGGATGTTGGATGCTAGTTACATATTAAGGTATAACTTAAACGCTCACCACCATCTCTGTAGCTTAGAACACATTTAGGAAAGATAGGGTGCCATCGAGATTTAGTACTTAGCTGTGTGAGTATATAAACACTTGTACTTACTTCTAGTCACACCTGATGAGGCGCAAGAAAGGTAGAAATGTGAGTAGAGTGTTTGAGATGTTTGCAGTCAGACAATGTGGTTTTAGACCATACTGAACATGATTTCAGGTGCCTGTTGACGGCAGCAGTACTGAATCGACGCAATGATGGCAAACCACTGGCCTTCCATACAACTGGTAATGGCCTTGACAACAAGATTTTGTTCCTTGTCATAAAACCAGGAAAAACTAAGTTGTTGGGGGCGGTGCATTAAAGAACAATACGCAGTACGCAAGAGTGAACTAATTGTGGAAGCTGAGGTTAAGTGACAATAAACCGATGGTCATAAGCTGTTGACGTTAAACTCTTTGTTATCTAATCGCACATAATTCTCGTCAAGAATTTGATTTTTAATCTATTTGTCTAATGATATCACAATCTCACACCCATTCCAACCTCGTTACATTCTATGAATTGTTCTATTTGTGACATGGTTTGTTTTGCCACCTCATAATGAACTAGGATTGTGACATCAAAATCATTTGAGTTTGAGTTGGATTTCAATCTGCGATTATTGTTGTAATTATTACTGATATATAAAACGTAAGAAAAAATTCCCTCAACGGACACGCTTTCTTCGAACACACATCATATACGATTGTATAGCTTGATAACAAATTTGCTGCTGAAAGGAGTGTGTGTGGTGAATCATTTTGTTTGCGTTTACTTTTAAGTAAATACGTAACTGTGAACGGTATTCAAGCAGATGAGAACTGATTATTATATTGTCAGTTGGATTATGTGAGGAATGGATATTCATGATACTGGGAAACTAGAGAAAGTGCATGATTGCTTGGAGCGTTCCGATAGTAAACACCCATAATCAGACAATAGTTTGTAGGCACTATTCTAAATTACTTGGTGAGCGTGAAACCACTCCTTTTTTAGTTAATCTCAAACTATGACGAAACAGCGTCCAGATCAACGGATAATCACATCATTCCACAATAAGGTTAGTTTCAAAATCAGTCGTAATCACGACCCATTCATTGAATTGGTCATCCTGATGCGTCACTCAAATACACCCAACGAAATTTCATTTAAGCATTGAGTGATATCAACAAATATGTGAGAACTGATAACTTCTTTTGTTTTCTCTTTCATGGAAAACAAAAATGGATGTGAATGCGATTTTAAATCTTAAGGGTCCTTCGAAAATGTACGTTGTATTCTTGAGCATATTCTTCACTTCCTAACGTTCCCAGTGGAACATCGGGCTTCAAGCTAGATGCCTGAAATTTCTGTAGCCGTGGTGTTTATTTTTGCGAGATGGGGTTGATAGCCTCAGTCTCAACCTTTCTCTGCCAGTCTCACTACTGGCTTGGTGAGGTAAAAGAGCGCGTCGGCCGGAGAGTCTAACCCCGAACCGCATGCGTAGTTGACGAGCATTGTGGCGCTGTGCCACCGACGCATTTCTCGCGAATAAGGTGAGAATATTTATTTGAACACAATCGATTTATTTAGCTGTATGTTTTGGCATACAGCTTCATAACACACATAAGTGAGTTGTATAATACGACTAAAAGAAAAGCTCCAAGTGTTAGCTCCTATTCGTTTGGTTGTGCCAAGTCAACTGTAAATTAACAGAATTTATCTTTTGATTTATCTTATGGTACGTTAAATTTTGAAGTTCATTTCGTAGAAATCAGGGATGAGAACATGTTGGTCATTGATTTTTAACTTGCAGCAATGCCTAATTCTATTTCGCCTTCTCTATCCTTGGCCATTATATATAAGTCATTTCATGGCCATCACGTTAATATCGTTACATCATGCAAAGTAAATATGGCACACCTCAAGACTTAAAGTACTTGGAAGAGGATAAATATATTCAGAATTAGTGCTGAATGTAGACAATTCAAACAGCTTTAGAATGGATAAATCTTGGGAACAGTCAAGAAAAAGGGAAATGAGCAAACGGCAAAAGAGTACTGAGCATTCAGCAGTTTGAACGCAGTTTCAGACAAGGTAACTCTTGATAATCAAAGGATGTTAAAACTAAAAGAACTATATATATATATATATTACCAATAAACACGTTAAGTGATTACGGAAATAAAAGCAGTTTCATTTCATCCTACACCATGTGCAAAATACCTTATTTTCTAAGAGAAAAAGCTCAGGGATTTGCGGCAACGCAGTGAATTCGCTTTCAAATTACTCCGAAAGCTTTGTGAAGTTGAATTAAAAAACATTTGGGTAATTTATCCCTAGAGTGAGTTTGACTGTTTTGAGTTCATACGAGAGACTGTGAATTGAATGTTTGTTTAATTTGCTTGACACATAATTAAATCAAAAACTGTTAATGGATGGGCGTTTAAGACTAAGTTGGTTTGTCCATTTAGTGTGAATTGACAAAGAATAGTACATCCCTCATTCGACCATGCGCTAGCAAAAATGCAAAAAACAACAATTATCAGTGAAGAGATCTTGAAGAAAATTGTATTACTGGCGATACTGCTTGGACGGATATACGAACTTGTACACGACAGTATGGTAGACACTGACACAAAGTGAACTTCTAATGTCACGTGACCTTGCTGAGTCAACTAGGTTGCTAGTTTTCTATCCGGCCCCAAACCCATAGACATTGTGACTTAATCCCTCCTCATCGAACCAGGGAAGCCTAAATTGAGTGGGGGAACAAAGAACAGTCAGTAGGATGCAATAGTGAATAAATTGTAGGCGTGAAGGTGGAGTGGTTCCCACCAGATTGTCTAAACTGGTTAACGCAGCCAGTGAGACGAATGTTTCACTTAGACATCGACAAGGTATAAGATGACGGAGAAGCGTGAGAAAATGAGACTGTATCGACGTATTTCATGCTCCACATAATTTTCATATCAGCGCAATCTATGCTTTGCTGCAAACATCATGTGAAGACATAAGTTTGTGTACGTCACATTTTCACCTGGTGGTGGAATTCACTCTCTGACAGTTGGGTGGATTTGACGTTGGACTACTGAGCTTGGATCACTCGCTTATATCCGAACGAAGCTATTCATTTCCTACGTAACTGGCAGTGAGACAGTCAGGTCATCAGCGCATCAAGCGAAGTTGGTTCGTTCGAAAAGTGGTCAAGTTATGTGAGACTGAAGATGCAATATAGAGCACCTCGCCAGCTGCCTAATCGAGGAAAAAGTCTGGTCAACTAGACAGATACCAGACTGCCAGTGATTCCAGCTGGGTTAATGAATTCAGTCACATGTGATATTTCAAGCAAATAACAAATGCAGATGAACGGTTGTCAATGATGTATAGTCTACCTGTCTGTGTTGAGACACCATCCGCCGACGCCACATCTTAGCATCTGATAGAAACACGAATCCATATCACCACAGTGAAATGCTTCAAGGTGATGATGAACAGACGAATAACACATGGTTACTTCAAATTCCCACAGCTGTCGTCTTCCCATGAATGGGGCTTCAGCTGTCCCCACGAAAGGAAACTGCTATTGGCTGATCACTTAATTTATCTAAACACACGGTTTCGACTCAAATCATTGATATGGCAGTCGTAATATTAGTACTTGTTGCGGTCAGTCCGTATCGCAATCATTGTCAATGCGAAATATCAAACTTGTTAAATCTTCGTTACTTAACTTCAATCAAATACATTTTATGTGAAAAATTTTAGCTTCTTTCAAGCTGTACAGTCAGACACAAAGATGCTGTTTGATGGAATACAGTGATGGTACACCAAGGAACGAGGGAGATTATGGAGAGAATGTGATTAAGACAGTGGCACTTATCACTCTTAACCAATTTTATTTTACAAAGTTTAATTCTTCGTTGTCAGATTCCACACAATTTCAATAAACTATTTTATTTG